TCGTTCTGGCTGTGTGCTCCACTTCTTTCTGCTGCAGGTGTTTACAGTTGAACCTTTTGTGTCTCTCTGGGAAGATGCTCTGCTCCTGAATCAGCTGGGTGGGTCTTGCCTCTAGCCTCTTTGCAGGGAGTTCTGCTGAAGGGTTCCCTGCTGGGCCTGCAGCCTGGGTCGAATGAGGATCCGCGGGCCTGGATCGTCTCACTCACTTGCCGGGCCTGCACTCTGGGTCTATTCAGGATCCTGCAGGCCCTTGGTCGTCTTACTCACTCACTGGGCCTGCGCTCTGGTTCTGTTCAGGATCCCGTGGGTCGTCTCACTCACTGGCCGGGCCTGCGTTGTGGGTCTATTCAGGATCCCATGGGCCCCGGGTCCAGTATTTTTTTACTTGGTGGTTTTCTTTGCAGAAAAACTGTATTGCTATTTACTCTTGTATTTTGTTGACTGCAGATTGGATAGTCCTAAACCCTTTATTTTCTTGAGAAATAAATGAGGAAGGACTGCTACCACACATCAACTATTTTCTCGTTGGGATCTCATGCCTGGGGATGTGCCCACGGCTCTCCACAGGGTGATAAGTGCTGTAATCTGTTCACTAGCTGGTCATCGCAACGCAGATGAGGGTGTGTAGGGACCGTCGTTGCAGACTCCTGACGAACGTGCTGGCTTGAGCCGCAGGGCTATGCTTGGGATTCAGCGTGGAGGAGGGATTCTGGAGAGAGGTTCTTTAGGGAGATACGCTTCGTTCCTTTAGTAAAGGAGTATGAGGAGGCTGTCGTACATATTGTGGGCCACGTTGGTATGTTTTGATATTTAAGTCATTTGCAGTAATGATTGTGATTTCTTTAGTATTGAATTGTAATTATAAAATATAATTGCTTAATCTTTTGAACCTTACTTAAGAATTGGGGGAATCATGTCTTGGTTGTCACTGGTTTATTATTTCCAGTTAACGCTGTCATATTTTCTATTCAGATAAAAACTAAATGGTCAAAGAAAGATTATTAAAATTCATAGGAGAACTTTCATCATTTTTATATTTAGCAGGAATAAAATAGTGAGTGATATGTGTACATATTTTTTAGGATGATCGACCGAAAGAATGACCGAGATAACAACAGTTCTATGATTGATATAAGTTACAAACAAGACAAAAACGGAAGTCTAATTGATGCTGTTCTTGACAAGCTGTACGTGTGTGCCAGTGTGGAGTTTTTGATGACTGTGGCAGATTTCTTCATGAACGCAGTGCCTCAGAGCCCAGAAAATACGGCAAAAGAAACACAGATTCCATCTAGACAGAGTCCCGCCGGGAGAGTCAAGGCAGAGAAAGGTCAGCAGGAGTTGTCTGTCGTGGAAGACAGCTTGTTGGGTATTTTAACGCAAATTATAAGCAGGAGGAAAGAGAAGTATAGGATGTGAAAAAATGAAATTAGGCTTTTAGATTTAAACGTATTTTTTGTAACCGTGTTAGTGTTTTTAAGCGAGAGCTGTGGAAAGACACACCATGAGGGGCAGGAGACTGTCCTGGGGCCAGCTGTGCCACTTGTGTTCTTTACTCATCTGGAAGTAGAATAGATTGGGGCCGGTGGTTAGAGGACTGTTATGGGGAGGGCTCTTTTAGAAAGAAGTATTTTGGATTCTGTCATCTTGAAGAGCACGTGGAGAACTACAAGGGAAGATGAGGATGTCACAGGAGTCCTTAGACTAAGCTCAGCCCTGGCCTGGGTGTGTGCACGCTGGCGCCTCTGAGCCCTGCCCTGCAGTTTTGTGTCCCAGCTGTGTAAACAGATTCAATACAGATAATAGGACTCTTGATTCTGGACCTTGGGTAAAGCCAAAGCAAACAAATGAGAACAGCTCCTCAAATTCGCTAGGGCGTTTCCCTGTCTTCCTGGCATGGCTCTCTTGGCCCCTGTGTCATGGAATCATGCGTTCTTACGTGTGGCTACCAGTGCACACCTTGATTGTGATCGGAAGAACTTCAGAACAGCACTGTTTCAGAGAAAATCAGAAATCCAAGTGGGACAATCTTTTTGGGCAGGTTTTAGATTGCATTTTCTCGCACAATTAGCGTTTATTAAATAATCATTTAATTATTAGCGTTAATCAGCCAACTCATAATTTTAGTAATTTCACCATACCTATCATATCAGAATACTGGGCACTGTTTAGTGAGTTGTTGATAATATTGTAGTCACATAAAATTTACTTTAAAATTTTCCTGGCCCATTTTTGTCTCTCCAGATGATTCTGCAAGACGAAACGTGACATTGAAAGCCATGATCACTGACCCGGAAGTGGTGTTTGTAGCCAACCTGAGCAGGGCTGATGCCCCTGCGCTGACAGCCTCCTTCCAGTGCAACCTCTCTGTGTCGGCCTCCGGGCTCGAGCAGATGATGGAAGCTTCCGTGAGAGACCTGAAAGTGCTTGCCTGCCCTTTCCTCAGAGAGAAGAGAGGGAAAACTGTTACCACGGTAAGAACTGCCCTGCAGAGCGGCAGAGACGCCTTGGAGCTGCGAGCTCGGTGGGACTCGGGGATTACTCACGCTGGGCTTTGCAGACAAGGGTGTCGAGTTCTGCAGGGGTCACCTGCAGCAGTCATTGCTGTTCATGACAGGACTAGGGACTGCCTCCAGGCTGGTTTCTTTTTATTTTTTGTCTTCTGTTGAATTTTAGTACAGGGTCATTATTTTTTAGCTATTTCTTTTGTTCACTATAGTGTATACCCAGTGAGAGAATAAGTGAATACTTAAGTTTGGAAAGAAAAATACTCACACGGAGTCATCACAAAGGCCCTCCGGTGGTACCAAGGCCGGTCATCAGGAGACATTCATTTTCCCTAACCTTACCGTCGTTGTTAGCTCATGCTTTAAATACACCCACGAGTGTATTTTGTAGAGCATATCTTTGAAAAAAAATCACAAAAAGAAACCCTTGAAAGTTCTGAATGTAGAAGTGTGTGATTAGCTCAGAATTTGGAGTGCCGGGCTTCCTCGGAGCTGCTTGAAGCCCTTCAGCAGTGCCGGTGGGCTTGTGGCTCAGAAGCACCTTCCCAAGCAGCTCTCGGTGTGCTTTTAGCAGTGCTTTCTAGTTCAAAATCCAGGTGAAGTGAGATGCGGTTTGCGTAGGTGCGTGCTACATACCAGTGAAATTGTGGCTTTCGTTTGCTTGTGTAGGTCTTACAGCCTTGCTCTTTATTTATGGAAAAATGTGCCTGGGCCTCAGGAAAGCAGAATATCAACGTGACAGTTAAAGAATTTATTATTAAGGTGAGTGCCTGCCAGATTCTTTGTGTGCAGATTCTGAAAACAGGAGCCCAACGTTGCTGCAAGGCCCATGTTTGGTGATCAGATCATCTCCAGGATTAACACATGTTTTCTTTAGTGTGAATGTTCCTGTTTTCTTCAAAAGACTACTTTTTTAATACCTACGAATGGTAGGAGTAGTTTTTCTCTGTTATATCTGCATGTGTCTATGTTGGAGGGGAAAGAAGAGGTAGAGGAAGGAGGGGTAGAGATGTGTTTGCTGTTGTTATATTTGTCATTTTTTGTTTAATGTATAGTTTGATTTTGTCTTGATAAGTATGTGATTAAATACTTTATTTAGCTTATAATATTTGTAGTGATGAATGTTGGAAATAAATTAGTGTTTGCTTTTTTTTTTTTTTTTTTTTTTTTTTTTTTTTTTTTTTTTTTTTTTTTTGTGGAACCAGGGATTGAACTCAGGCCCTTGAGCTTGCCAGGCAAGTACTTATTCTACTGAGCTGTCTCCCTGGCCCTAATGTTTGCTTTTTAAAGGATCTTTTACATTTAAAATATTGAAGAATAGTCTGTGCTGTTCTCCAGTGTCTTTCAAATCTTTAGAATTACTTTATTCCTGGGTATAAATAGGAAGTACAGGATACTTTCTTAAATCCATTTAGCTCTCTTTTGGAAGATACAGCAATGAGATGGTTAATTCCCCAGTAATGTACAATGTAAATGATGGTAACTTATAGGCTAGTGACCAGTAGTGATTGAACTAAGGCTTAAGGTAATTTCATTTGAATCATTTTCAATAACAGTGTAGTTTTGCTCAGTTTAAAATAATACTAGTTAAAGCCAGACATGGTGGTGTGTGCCTGTAACCTCAGTGTTCTGGAGGTTGAGACAGGTAGATCGCTGAGAGTTTGAGGCCAGCCTGAACAAAGTGAAACCCTGTCTTAGGAAATAAGCAACAAAAATATAGTGGATTCACTTAGATTGTGTTTTGCTAATGCATTTTCTTTCTTTCTTTGTGTGTGTATGTGTGTGTGTGTAGTAGCATAATGAATGGGGAGAAAAATGCGTTTGCATGTATTTTCTCTGACGTTAGGCTAAGTGTTAAGAGGACCTCTCCTTTTTTTGTATAAAACCTTTTTGAAGTCTTATTACACATTAAAAGATACCCTGCTTATGGCATTGGCAATATGCAGTCACTGCCTTCAGAAACGTAATGACCCACGGGGAAAGAAGCAGATCAGCATCTGCGCTTGGAATGCTAGAGGCAAGTGCAGGTGCTGCTGGGAGCACAACCGGGGCTGTTGCTTCTGACCGGGACGCAGGAGGAGCTGTCTGGCAGTGAGACAGTTGGTGGAGTGAGGGATTCACAGTCGATGGAGCTTAAATAGATGGAGAGGACAGGAGAGACTCGCCAGACAACTGGCCCTGAGCGCAAAGGCAGAAGCTTGAGAATGTTCTTGAAGAACTGAGAGGGTGGTCCCTGGTGGCCAAATGCGGTGAGTTGTAGGTCTGGGAACATTAGTTATAGGTGACATTAATAATAGTAGGAGAGAGGATTCTGGTAACAGGCAAGTCAGGAAAACAGCGTGTGCCACATCTTCTTGTGATGTAGTTGTTCCTGTTGTAGTGTGTTAGTGAAGTAAGGGTTGTGCGAAGTCAACAATGAAGCATCCTTCCCACGTCTTTAGCGCAGCATTTCTCCAACTTGGGAGCATCCTTGCTAGCTGATTAGCGAGGACTATCTCACAAGGCGCTCTGGGCATCTGAGGGTGTGAAGAAGAGTGCCGGCCGGGCACAGAAAGTGCTCAGCAGGCGCTGCTGAGTGTCACTCTGTGGTGGTGGCTGGGCCTGGGCGTGACCCCCAGCACCACAAAAAAATGAAGAATCAGTTAGGCAAAGATGTGGTCAGTGTCAAGACTAAAGTACAGCGATAGAGGTGAGAAAGTGAGCAAAGACACCCCCAGAGACGACCCGGAGCAGGGTCCTCAGGCCTTGGTCAAGCCCGGGCTTCCTGGAGCACTGCCGGCCTCTCACTATCCGGAAGACAAATGCAGACATCTGTGTGCACCTCCACGTGGCTCACCTGTCTGGTTACAGCTCTGCATTTTCGCGTTGACACTGCTTCGCTCTGAGTTGTTCAGCTTGGCTGTTGGGTCTTGATTATTGTCATGGAACGTTAATTCAGGGACTGTGAGCAGGAGTTGGTGTTGTGTGCTTAGTAGACATCCCACTGGAATGCCTGTTTTCCTTAGTTCAAATTTAATTTGTCATTTTTGGAAGTGTTGATGTGTATTTGAGTTTGCATCTGGGAAAGGATTTTTTCCTAAACTTTTCTCTGCTTTGATTTGTAAAGATCTCACCCATCATTCTGAATACAGTGATGACAATCATGGCTGCTATGTCTCCAAAGACCAAAGAGGACGACTCAGAAGATGCATCCAAGGAAATGGAAAGTCTTTGGGCTGTCAAGTCTATTGATGATTGTAACTCTTGGTTTCTTGGTGTTGACATGGCAACTGAAGCAACAGAAAATTTCAGGGAGATGGACCATCCATCGACAGAGGAAAACTGTGCTGTTACTGTGGAGTCGGTCCAGGTCACGCTGGAGTGTGGCCTTGGGCATCGAACCGTGCCCTTATTATTGGCAGAGTCTAAGTTTTCGGGCAGTGTTAAAAATTGGACTTCTCTATTGGCTGGGACTGCAGACATGACCCTACAGGTATGGAGACGCCCTGAGGGCTGCCAGGTGCACTACTTGGAGGCAGAACCGCAGCGTTGACGCTGTGTAGGTTTTGTTTGTTCTGTTCTGTTCTGGCTTGGTTTGCTTATGCATGGCTGGGTTAGATAATAATATGAATAGATGAATATTCTAACACTCCGTTTTGCATGTATATGTGTGGTCACTGTTTTTAAGAAATCTTGTGCTAAATAGTTTATGACAAGAAAGTAAGGTGCTAATAGGAAGTGCATTCTGTTTACGTGTGCTTTTCGCATCTGGAAGAGCCTGTTGGCAGGCGTGTTACAGAACTCCTTTCTGCTGGCTAGAGAATTGTGTAGTGGAAGCTGAAAGACCGACCTTTTGTAACTCTGTGCCCTTCCAGGTTCACTACTATAATGAGAGCCACGCCGTGTGGGAGCCGCTGATCGAGCGAGTGGAGGGGAAGAGGCCGTGGAGTCTGGAGCTTGAGGTAAGCACAGACTAAGGTGCTCTTGCGCGGTCGTTGACGCTTCCTGCGCGGTCACGGTCAGGGTGCGGGCCAGCACCTGGAGCCCTGGGGGGCACCGCGAGCTCTCGCATCCTTTTGTGTGTACATGCAGACGTTACGTCTTGTAGTTATTTTCGTCCTCTTGGGAATGTGCGGTGTTCCCAGGAGACTCCGGGAGCGGGACTCTGCAGTGCCTTGTGGAGCAGAGCTGAGAACTCCCCTGTCTTCTCTTCAGCCTGCACTAAGAGGATTTATTCATGTCCCTCATTTCACTGCTGACAGTTTATAATTTTCATTAAAATGTTTTTTATATTAGCATATAGCTTAGATGAACATTAGAGTTTTCCCCAGTTTTCACTTTAAATAGAGTGTGTGTTGGCACATGCCTGAAGCTTACGTAAATGAAGCTCTCTGAGATAGTGATTTTTAAGAGTAAGACTGAAAGTCTTAAGAATTGCTACTAACTCATGAGCTCGCTCGTCTCGTCTCTCCTTGGTGCTCTTGCGAGGGCTTCCAGCCCCGGAATATCCCATGTGGGTGCCCTCACGGAGTTGTTGCACATTGGTGCTGACAAAGGAATGTGTTTGTTCAAAGGGAGAAGTCACCTAATGTGTGTCTCGTGGCCTCTGAAATAGAACTAGTACTTCTGGCTCCCTCCCTGGATAAGGAGGCTAGCCAGAAATTGTTTACATGAATGCGGTATTGCAGTAGACAGAAGCTGCTGCTGGTCGAAACCTTGTGATGCTACTGAGCTATAGGCATGACTGGTAAAAAGTAGGAGACGAGAAGCTGTCCTTTCCAGGCAGTACCTCCATAGGGACGGATTTAGACCTTAGGGCCTTCTTCAGTTACTAACAACTCACGGCTACTAGCGAGTCAGCGCTGAGTGCCTGCAAAGGTGTGGGGTGGATGCTGTGCCGGGGGCCGAGTGCAGCTCACAGCATGGGGAGGGCTGCGCAAGGGGTGGGGTGCAGCTCACAGCATCTGGGGGCACTGCAGGGAGACGCAGCTCACAGCATCTGGGGGCACTGCAGGGGGTGGAGCACAACGCACAGCATCTCCTCGCGGGGAGGAGGGACACTGCACGGGGCTGGGCGCAGCTCACAGCATCTCTGGGGGTGGGCGCTGCGCTGGAGGTGGGGCGCAGGGGGTGGGGCGCAGCTCACAGCATGGGGGGGATGCTGCACAGGGGGTGGGGCACAGCCCGCAGCATCTGGGGGGGGCGGGACACTCAGGGGCGGCGCGCAGCTCACAGCATCTGGGGGGGGTACTTAAGGGCCCGGCGCTCCTCCATAATGCGGTAAAGGGATGCTCTGCATATTTTGAAATGATACTTTTGAGGAGCCTTACTATAAAGCAGCCAGTTTGGGAGAATCCATCACTCCTGACTTTTATGTTTGTTATTAACTGACTGAGGAATTTTTATGTTATTTGTCTTTGTAGGTAAAGAAGAACCCGATCCAAGATAAAAGTTTGATACCAGGAGATGATTTTATTCCTGAGCCCAAAATGGCAGTTTATATTTCTTCAGCAGATACAATGAATATAACAATATCTAAAACTTGTCTTAATGTTTTCAACAATTTAGCAAAGGTATGTTTGGCTCTTACTTGGAATATTTCAAGTAAGAATTTAAGAATGAAATGTGCTGTATGCATGCTTTTGTCATAAAAAATAGTTTCTGAATTGCAATCGTGGTAAAATGTTTGAAAGGAATGTCCACTTCGTAAACACTTCATGGCGATGCTTTGTTTTTCAGGGTTTTTCAGAGGGTACCGCTTCTACTTTTGACTACTCTTTAAAAGACAGGGCTCCGTTCACGGTCATGAATGCTGTGGGTGTGCCCGTTACGGTGCAGCCCAGCTGCAACCTCAGGGTCCTGGGCTCCCCAGGGAAGAGTGGCATTTACAGCGTGGATGCCGCCCAGAGCCTGGAGCTGGACTATGCTGGCGCGGAGCCGTCGCCGCACGGGAAGCTGTCTGCGCTGAGCCGCCAGGAGAGCGCCTTCTTCACGCTGACCTTCGGTACGCTTGTTTCTCCTCAGGAGCATCTGAGCAATTGTTGTGGCTTATTTTTGATAAAATATGGAAAAATACTTTGCTGCATACATATTAGGAAAAAACACTTCTAAAGACTTGGATTAAATAGTTGGTACTTGTTTCTTGTTTTCTTCTAACCTTGAGAAAATTAAGCCTGATTGCGAGGTGTCTTACAAAAAGGAACCTTAGACAAATGGGTTATATCCGTACTTAGCCCGTTACATTACGTGGTGTGCCTTAAAAGGGTGAAAGTCCAGGAAGGAGAGGAAAGACTGTAGTCAGAAGTCCCGCAATGTCGGACGTGATAACTATTTCAAGGAAGATTTTTTTTTTTTTAATGGAACCGGGGATTGAACTCAGGCCCTTGCGCTTGCCAGGGAAGTACTTAATCTACTGAGCCATCTCCCTGGCCCCCAAAAGATTGTTGTTATGTATATAATTAAGAGATTAATAAGAAATCAGTTGCATTTTGCTTGTTTTCATATATTTAAGCTGAATACCTCAATTTATCTTGGGTCAGAAGTTTTATTTCAGTAATTTTTTTCTTTTCATTAATTATTATTATTTTTTTAAAACCTTGTATTTTAGAAAAGCATTTTATGGTGATTATTTCCAAGCATAAGGAGAAAAATATTCTTGTCTGAATTCTGTCAGGATAGTTATTCTGAAATACAGAAACATTGATAAGTAAATGCTGAGAGTGTCTTCACTTGTGCTCTGCCTCAGTGCCACACGGGTATACAGAGGTGGCCAATGTCCCCGTTGCCAGGCCTGGACGGCGGCTGTACAGTGTGCGGAATCCCAATGCCGATTGTTCTGATGCGGTCTTGGTGCAGATTGACGCCACGGAAGGGAATAAAGTCATCACTCTCCGTTCTCCTCTGCAGGTAAGTCTTGAAAGTGAGGTGAAGCCGTTCAGTCGCACTCATTTTGGAATGTAGTAACACTTTGTCATATCAATGAGCTGATGTAATGTGTACGCCCTAATTTGCTTTTGAAATAGTGTTTAAGTGTTTGATAAAATTTTTTAAATTTAAAGCCCATTTTAATATCTCTTTAAAATTAATGAACTTTTTTGCGTATTTCTTTTAAGAATTGATGAAAAATTGTAATTCAAGTTGGCTGTCAAAATAGGATCCATTCTCATTGTGTGTGACTTGGGGATGTATTTTTGAGCATGTAACAAGTACTGTTAGAATGAACTATTTTCCTGAAAACAGTTCCAGCATTTTAGTGGTATAAATGTTTCCTTTTCTACTGCTAAGGCTTTGCATACATTTTTTCTTTCTTGGATACTACTTTAGGTTTCAGGATATGATCAACAAAAGAACATTCCTTCCTACCTATGGTCTAAGATGAAAAACGGAGTGCTCTGCTATTTCTGTCTCTTGGTTTGTTAGCGAGCCTCATGTGTTCTGTACCGTGCCCAGAAGGGCGAGCTGTCGCGCTCATCCTCGGCTGTCCTCTTGTTTAAGCATTAGCAGCAATCGTAATGGAGAGTGTCGCTGAATCTTCAAAGAACAATACTGTTTGGGTGATCGCGTTACAGACTAAGATGAGCATTGGTAGGCGGTGTACAGATTATGTGAATATCTGAATTGAAACTGCTGGTTAAAGTTGTCTTAATACGTATGTAGCCTTTACATGTCCTGAAGTGTTCAGGTGCCTAGGGAAGCACCTTCCAATATTGGGCTTGCGCCACGTTAGAGATAAAAGTAGTTGTGTACAACTAATCATTTTACTTTTAATTTACATATGTTTATAAAAGTAATTATATGCATTTTTGTCCAACAGATTAAAAACCACTTCTCCATTGCATTTATTATCTATAAATTTGTGAAGAACGTTAAGCTGTTGGAGCGCATTGGAATAGTCAAACCTGAAGAAGAATTCCATGTCCCTTTAGATTCGTACAGGTAGATATGTCTTTAAATATACTAAGTTTTTAAAAATTCTCCATATGCATTTTACTTTTATGAGTTGGAGATTAGCTATCTGGAAAATATAAACTTCCTATAATTTTTTTTTTTTTTGCGGAACCGGAGATTGAACTCAGATCCTTGCGTTTGCCAGTCAAGCGCTTATCTTACTGAGCCATCTCCCCAGCCCCTATAATTATTATTTAAAATCATATAAAAGCATTTTGAAGACAGTTCATTCTGTAGAAAAATTGTTTATATGCTTTATCAAATGAAAAAGCTTTTGATGGCTTAGACTTACCCGAAGTCTGTGTTTAATAGAGTGTCTTATATGTGAAATGAAAGCATTTTTAAGTCTCCTTTGTTTATAGGTTTGTTTTTTTCCCTCAGAATGTTCTTATGGGAGTTGTTAGCTATGAGACCTTTTTTTGTTATCCAGAGAATACAAAATAGTTAAAAAAAAATACTCAGAAATGATACCGAATGCCTCGAACAAAACGATAGGCATTCGACAGTGGTTGCTGCATTGCGTAATGTCGTCCTCGGGTTAGTTGCTCGGACTTCCAGCTGCGGGACCGTGCGCTGCTCGGCCTCCGGGAGCCAGGGCTTCCCCACCTGTGAAGCGAGCCAGTCGCTGCCTGCTGGGAGGCGCCTGAAGGCTTACGAAGTCCCTTCTCACGCTCCCCGCGGTCCGACCTACGGGCGGGTCTCTCCTTCTGCAGGTGCCAGCTGTTCATTCAGCCGGCCGGTGGCCTAGAGGGTCAGTACACCGCCTCCACCACCTATATCCCCTGGAGGGAGGAGCTGCACAGAAGCAGCCGCGTGAGTGGCAGGCTGCAGTGTCCCTCGGCGCAGCGCAGCTCCCTGCCACTTGTCGTGAACACGGTGGCCGTGCCCGACACGCTCAGCCACGTCAGCGCCCACGGGGAGGAGTGGAACCCAGCCTACGTCGTGCACCTCCACCCCTCGCTCACACTGCGGAACCTTCTCCCGTATTCTCTCAGATACTTACTTGAGGTGTGTCTCTTGTTTGGGTTTGGATTTCAGTGTTCCACAAAGTGAATTCTAGTTTGTTTTAGGGTATTTTAGTCGAAGTTGTGTTTTATGTAGCATCCTTGACACGTTTAATGTTGTTAATGAAAGCACGACTTGAAATAGCATGTGTTTGTGTCAGCACTCTCTTTGGTTGGACGTGTTTAGTCCTACAGAAGCTGTGACTGGTGACCCCTCTTTGCTAGTGAGGAAACAGTCCTGCGGAGGTGAGTGGCAGGCCTGACCTCAGCTGGCTGGGGAGAGCGGGGGCTCAGCGGGCCAGGGGGGAGCGGGGCTCAGTGGGCCAGGGGGAGCAGGGGCCCAGCGGGCCAGGGGGAGCAGGGGCCCAGCGGGCCAGGGGGGAGCTGGGGCTCAGTGGGCCAGCGGGGAGCTGGGGCTCAGCGGGCCAGGGGGAGCTGGGGCTCAGCGGGCCAGGGGGAGC